TGCTAATTTATTAGCAAAAATAACTATCCTATATGCAATAGAAGAGCAATTTCCCATTTGTTTTACGATTGTCCCCATGTTTTTCATGCATAAAGCTTATATTATTCCCCAGCTATTGAAATAATACCTTATGTCATCGCTTTCGGCTCGGATTATAAAGTCACATTCGTCAGATAATACTTTTATCGCCGTGTGACATACAATATTTTATGTCACTGGGCCCGAAACTGGGCCTCGCTCCGCTCGGTTAGATCGCGGTTTATCGAGCCTAGCGACATAAAAAAATTCTAACTAGCTGTACTACACAGTTTAGGAGATAATAAATAATGAAATGCTCATGTGAAAACGGTTCTTACGACGTTCTTAAAAAACGAATTCATGGTAGATTGATAAATTCCGAATGGGGTAAATTTTTTCTAAAATTTACTTGCTCACAGTTTCTGCGATATTCAACTCTAAAAAATCGAAATTTCGTGAAATCATTTCTTGTTTTCTAATTAATTAACACAAATGTATTGACTATATTACGACGAAAGCCATTTTCCACTTGTTGAAGATTTCATCAATGAAAAACATCAAAATCTAATTTTTCTTGTTTTTTAACATTAAAAGTGAAGTAGTAAAGTCACCGGCACGATGAATAAAGACCCCTGCAATTTTGAAAATTCAGTGTGTCCTCCCTTCGCGGTCCCTATGGACAGCTGCTCCTCATACCTCTCGACGATAATTTTCCTCACTCGAGAATTAAGTATTTAGTACACTACTTTGAGTGCACATTGAAAAATTCTCCCAGGCATTGCATCACCCACCCATACTTATCCATGTCTTCACTCTACCGTGAGAGACACTCAAGGTGAATATGCAACTTGAATACAACTTTGTCCCCCCGTATCGCAGCGAAAGGAAAGAACCCAGTGGCGTAAATGTGGCCCTACTGCACCGCTCTATCCACCATTCTCGTGTTATTCACCGTTGTAAAACATGAAAAAATAACGATAAATCCCCCGGTCTTGAACTCATTTCAGCCACGATTTGTTATAAATAGTGAATATTACGGGGCTATCGGTGATCCTCAACCCGAGAATTTACTATCGGTTAATTAACTCGAACCATTCGACAAAAGTCGAATTACTTCCGGCTAATTAATTTCCCCTGGTTTACCTTTTTAATTGCTCGACCTCAAGTTTCCTACCGTGTACAGGTCCACTAGGTCTGTATTTTTAATAACTCAGCGGCTAAAATAATCAGGATTTTATTCAATCCCTCCCCCTGAGATTTCGTTTTAATATTTAAGTCTCTCGCTAAGTCGTCGTAAACGGGAGAATTTATTCAACACATTCGCTGCTTTATTGGAACTAATAATAATAGAGGAGAGGCGAAATAAATTTTTATTTTTTTGGTGTTAATCTTCTTCACGTTTGCAATTGAATATCAGAATTTTTATTGGAGATTTTATTGTTAATATCGGTTTTTGATGTCTGAATTGATTTCTTATTTTGAATTGGCAGATAACGTTTAGAGAAAACTAAAAAAATACAGACAATAATTAATTTGAAATTAATTACAGACAGTAATTAATTCAGAATGAAGGATATCCAAGTACTTTAGCTATTTTTTCTCCAGTGGAATGCTTTTGGAATCGATTTCATGCCTGAAAAATTAGGTTTTCGAAAGTTTAAACAATTCCAACGAATGATTAAAAAAATTATAATTCTGCGCAAAATGTCATTTGAATGACGCTGAATGATCAGAAGTTTTTTCAGATTTTTCTCACGCAATTTAATTGACAAATTTTGATGATTGAAATGATATTTGAAAAATTTATCACTGAAAATCTCTAAATCAATCGCCAACATGATCAGGATGTCATTTAAAATATTTATTCAGTGCAATTTTGTCGTGTAAATCTTCAACATTTTTCGCTGAACACCAGAACTGTCAAAGATTTTATTACAAACACGTTTTTTTCAAGTCTGAACTTGACTCCTCATCTTTAATGGCTATAAAACATTTCGAACGTGATTTAAAAATAACGAAGAATTACGAAACAAATTACAATCCGTAATTTATGAGAATCATCAAAGCTCAGTAAAAAATTTCATCATTCAAAATCTCTCAATAGGTTACAATGACATTTAGAAATGTCGCTGTAATGATCAGCATTTTATGAATACCCCCCCGAGGTTTCATTTTAATAATCAATAAAAAAAATCGTGTAAATTTTCTTCAGCATTTGTAGTTGAACATCAGAACTTTCGTCAAATACTTTATTATAAACATCTTTTTTTTAATGTCTGAACGTTATTTTTTCATTTAGAACAGTTCGAAAATGCCTCAAAATAATTTAAAAAACATGAGCAATTCCAACAAAAAATACAATTCTCAATTTTTTAATCAGATCGAAATTATTTTAAAAATTTCAAAATCTCTAAATCACAATGGCATTTAGTAAAATCACTGAAAGGATCGAGATTTTATTCAATTCCCCCTGAGTTATCAGTTTAATATTCAACAGAAAACTTTCGAAAATAATTAAAATAACACGAACAATTCCCCCAAAAAATGCAATCCCTAATTTATTAATGAGATTTAAATCATCAACACTAAAATTGGAGAATCTCATATCAATTTTCTTCAATATTTGCAACTGAACATCAAAACTGTCATCAAAGATTTTATTGTAAACATCTTTTTTTTTATGTCTGAACGTAAATTTTTATTCAGATCAATTAGAAAATGTTTCGAAAATAATTAAAATAACACGACCAATTCCCACAAAAAATGCAATCTCTAATTTATTAATGAGATTTGAATCATCCATCCAAAAATTGGATAATTTCATCGGTGAAAATCTTTGAATAAGTTACAATGACATTTACAAATGTCACCGTTGAAATTTGTCGCTCCAAGTGACACAGAGACAATTCAATGTTCCAATTGAAATAACCACCAACTGTGAATTTTTCTGATTTAAAACATCCCAGTTATTTAGTGGGACAGCTGTCACACTGACTGAGTGTTTCACAAATACCGTTCACCACGATAATTTCACCATAAAAATGAAAATTCTCACGCTGAGAACATCTTCGGTACAATAACGAACCCGCCGCTTCTCAATGTACCCACTAGCTAATTAACGAGAACAATAAACTATTGATTAATCCCCCAATATTGAAAATGGGAACAACGATTAAGCGTGCTGATGCGTTCCCGTAGAAATACGTCAGTTAATTATTAGCTTTCATATCGGTGATTCCGACAGATGATGCGTCATTATCTGTGATAATCATTATAACGGAGAATGTCGTGTGTTTAGAAGCGCTGGGGGTAAAATTGATGCGGGGATTCTAGCGTGCATGATTGATATTCATTTATTTCTCTGTCTTATCAATTTTAGACGTGAGTTTATTGCTGAATTTTTGGTATTGCAGAAATTGTAGTCGGGTCAAATCAAATTGCATAATGTGTGGAAGGGGGGATAAATTATGAGTTTTTCAGCATCTGTATTCACTAAATAGAGAAGATTCTAAGAAAACTTATTGTTGTTGATCATCAATGACTGGAGATCGGTTGAGTGAAAAATAACTTTTTTTTTTCATTTTAAAGATAGTTTTTCAAGCTTGAAAGAGAGACGTGATTCATCCAAATTGCACCACTTAGTTTGAAAATATGAACGGTTTTATATTTCCATCAGACTTTTTTCAATTTGACTAAAATAAGATTCGAATAAAATTACTATTTTTGATTATTAATAACTCGAGATCGGCAAAGTGAAAAATAATTTTTTTTTTCATTTCAAAGATATTTTTTGAAGCTTGAAAATGGGACCTGACTCATCCAACTTGCATAATTTAGTTTGGAAATAGGAACGGTTTTATAATTTGCTTCAATCTTCGTCACATTTGACCAAACTAAGATTCGAGTAAAATGATTATTTTTTGATTGTCAATATAACTAGAGATCGACAGAGTGAAAAAAAAAACATTTTTTTCCATTTCAAAGATATTTTTTTAAGCTTGAAAATGAGACCTAACTCATGATTATCGTTCCATTTAGTACGCAGATATGAACGGCTTTACATTTTATTTCAAACTTTCTCAATTTCGACTAAAATAAGATTCGACTAAAATGACTGTTTTTGATTGGCAATAACTAGAGATCGCCAGAGTAAAAAATAACAATTTTTTTTTCATTTCAAAGATATTTTTTCAAGCTTGAAGATGGGACCTAACCCATCTAAATCGCATCAATTAGTTCGGAGATAAATCGCTTTTACGTTTTGCTTCAAACTTCTTCAATTTTCGCTAAAATAAAATCCGTAAAAACTGACTATTATTTCATCTCCAATAACTGGAGATCGGCAGAGTGAATACAATTTTTTTTTCTTTCATTTCAAAGATACATTTTCAGCCTTGAAAATCCCACTTGACTCCCCCAAATCGCACCATTCCCTCATCAGATATCGACAATGCCCCATTTTCCTCCCACCCCTGAATTGAAATTCGCATCCACCAGAAAAATCTCAAAATTTTCAATTCACTCGCCAAGAAGTACGAGATACACCCTCACCCCCGAAATAAACTGGAGAACCGTCAAAATCTCCGAGTAATCCACCGTCAGAAGCTGACGTTGAACGCAAAATTGAATACGCATTCTGAATACTAAAAACATTCGATATAAAACTCGCCCGAAATTCCCCTTCAACTCTGTTATTCCGCATCTCTCCGTGTTTACAAAACCACGTTAACCCAATTATCGATCACCAACTTGTCTCCATCACTATTTCGCGTACAACAAACGTAAAAACGACGTTCCGAAGGCTAATTCAGCCTAAACCCAGCCCCGTTTACGACGTAATAACTGTTACAATTTTTTTTCCACGAAATCCACTAGTCCTTTTAACAACCGCTCATTATTCCCCAACTACCGCCGAATAGCACCTCATAACGAGGTTAAAAAATTGACAAAACAGCACAAAACAAATTGACAAAACTACGCACCTTGTGCAGAAACAGCAACCACGACGAACCAGCAGCTCCACAGGATCATCTTGGCGTTTCCCCTCTGTCGTTCCATACTTCCTTCACTTCACAAACAAAATCAACACTTCAATCTCCAAAATACTCAACTAAAAAAATTGCACACAACAGCGCCGAACTCTCCAAACAAAATGGTAAATAAACCAAAACCACAAGTGGCAATGTATCACGCCGATAAAAACCCGCGTTAACCGAACAAAAAACTCCTTCACTCAGCGATTAAATCAACGATAACGACACGTTACAACTGGTGGTAATAATTGACGAGTAAAAAAAACCGAGTCAACTCAGACGCTGGGTAACCCAACTCGATAGCTCGACGCGCGAACACCGTCTGCCGCGCGTTTTGCTTTCGAGGCGATTCGTGAGAGTTCGGGGGCCGGCCCGAGGATAACCGAGTCACGATTGTAGACGGCCGATGATCCTTACCGCCCCCCACCCCCGGGTTTGTATATCGTGTACCAGCGTTTTTCGATACTCGAGTGCCCCCTGTTATGGAACTGCTGGATCTTGAATACAAATATTTTTGCCGCGGGTCTGGGGGGGGGGACTTGTTGATGTTTTGGGGATTATTTTCAACGGCGAAACGGTCTGGCATGGGTTTTGTTTTGATGATGAGGACAATAAGGGAGAGGGACGGGATTCTTTGAGGGATTTCTGAGAATTATTTTGTTGAATACTGCATTGTGAGGTGGGTTAATCTATATATTCTTAATATTTAGGCCTGAACTAATGAATGAATATTTTAACTCGCAGATGATAGAAGAAATGAATTGAATGATTATTTAATAATAATTATAATTTGATTTAATTATAACAAATTATAATAGGTGAAAGATGTTATGCTTTGATCTTTCTGTTTTTCTGATCTCAAGTAATAGACGAAAATTATTAAATGATTATTTAGTAATAATATAATTATTTAAGTAATAATTCTATAGGGAAGTGGCAAGCTAGGGTAAGTGCAGAAATGGAACTTTTTTAGGAGAGTTGAAAAATTTGACGTTTGAATTTTCGATTCAAGCAATAAAAATTTTTTTTTTAAATGCACTTATCCTAGTTTACCACTTCGCTAGAGAATCATTTAATAGTATTAAATAATTATAACAAATTATAATAGTTGGAAGATCTATTATAATAACTAAAAGATCTTCACGCACGAGAAAATTTAATAGAGAAACCTATCGAATTCGTTAGAAAATTCTATTAAATTTCTATTAAACTTTCTATTAGTTTTTGGCTGATTCTATTGACATGTTCAATAGAAAAAATTCAATAGAATTTTCTAACAAATTCGATACGATTTTCTATTAAATTTTTTCGTCCGTGTTGCCAAGATACTGGGGTTTTGTTTGATGATGAGAACAAAAAAGGTGAGGGACGGGGCTCTGCGGGATTTCTATGAACTTTTTCTTTTGAATACCACATTGTAAAGTACTTACAGTTTAATGTGCATACTAGAGATATTTCGGTCTAAACTAATGAGTAAATATTTCTGATGCCAAACATTGGAAGAAACGAATCAAATGATTATTTATTAATTATTTGATAATAATAATGATTAAATAGTCAATAGTGAACAAATATTCCAAATCTAAAATATTGAGAGAAAAGAATCAAATAATTATTAATAATTAGTCAATTATTCACTTATAAAAGAAAGATCTCGTCCCAATACTATATTCGTTAAAAAATTTTAAATCAACAAAAACAGAATTTTCACATTTTTCCCTAAAGCCGCTCGTTTTCAGAATAAATACGAATTCAACAATGTTCATTGGAGCAAAATATGTCCCGAGAAAAGCATTAATAAGTGAATAAATACATAAACAAGTGGGAAATTGCTCTTGTCTTCATACCGTATAGTTACTTTGCTAATAAATTAGTAGATTTTGCACAGCATTTTCTCCTGTGGTACACAATGCGTTGTTTAATTTGCGGTATTAAATTGAATGAGATTTATTTTTGAACAATTATGTCAGATTTTCAACTCAACTGAATGTTACCATTATAATTATTCTTATTATCCCTTTCTTTCGTACAACCGATTGTCTTTTTTGCGGTCCTATCACTCCAAAGGAATTGAGAAAATTCACGGACGTTCAGGAAAAGTCGAAAACATTGAGGTATTCTTTTTAATTGGAGGTATTATCAAAAATCCTGGTATTCAATTTTCTCCTATATTCAGCCCGAGCGAAGCCGAGCCACACAGCTAGCAAAATAATAACGTTCATTTCACATCATTCAAAGATAAATGAATTAAAATTCCGTGTAAATAAATCAAAATTCGACACTGGGAGAAATAAAAATACTCAGATTTCTTGAAATCTTCATGACAATTAGCCCCCCTCATCGCTCCCCGCCCCGTCCACCGCCCACTTAACAATCGTGTTCCTGCGCTTTCGATACTCGAGTGCCCCCTGTTGCTGAACCGCTGGATCTCGACCAACACAAACATTTATCCCTCTATCCATCGGTTTTGTTCAAGTGTTGGTGATTACCTCCGCCTCAAAATGAGTCTACCAGCCCAATTTCAACGATAGAAACCCTCCGAAATTTGGTATTAAATCCTTCCAATAATTTCCAAAATTCTAGCTTCAAATACTCCGCTGTAATCTGCTCTCTGATTCATAGATTCGTGATATTTGGCTCGATTGCATGAACCGATCGATAATGGAAATCAAGCCCATCGACAGGTTCAACATTTGCTGTTCATTAAATGTACCAGATGCCAAATATTGACGGCAGAAATAAATCGCTAAAAAATCGTGATGTAAACCTTTGAAATTTGGCTTCCCCTCTCTTTATCCGTTCCCCCTCCAATTTGAACGTTTATCTCTGATAAAACGGTTTCTTTTCGATGTATTCACTCGACAAGTGGCTGTTTCATACGTGGTAGAAGTTGCGTAGTCTCCCAGCATGTCCGCCAGTCACAACTTGAACGCTGACGTGTAACATTCCCCGAAGGAAGCACTAAACTCAAAGTATGTTGATAATTTTGTTATTTCATGAATTAAAATACTGTAGTTTGGTTTCTGTGACTGTTAATTCTTGATCGAGAGATTGTGGGGAGTTTTGCGGATTATTCTAGGCCTGGGTTTTGTTGCTAATGGTTTTAGTTGGGAATCATTCACGATCTGACAATCTTTCATAATCAACAAATACTGTATTTCGAAGTTTGAATACAACCAGAGCGATTTAATTTAGGAAATGTATTCCTCATTTATTTATTCGAAATTTTCTTATTGAGTGCAACGGTATTTTTGAATGTTCATTGCAATGAAAATGTTTCAATTATACGATTTATTCAATTGAAATTGAGGATTCCATAAAATTGAAAAACTTGTATTTTTTGCAATTGTTAATTGTTGATATTTAGAGGGATTCAGAGGAAATTGTTGATGTGGTGAGCACTGTGGAGGCTTCTAGCCCTGGGTTTTGTTACAAATGGATTTTGTTACGAATTATTAACGATTTGAGATTCGTTCACATTCAACAACAACATCGGACAACTCGTTATTTGTTTGGATGTTTTTTTGACCAAGTTCGAAGGCGATAGCAATGATCGTTATTTTTATTTATTTGAAAATTTGCAAAAATTTTGGATTTTTTGAAACTCAGAATTCCGGGGATATCTTTGAATATCATGCTTCAAATTAATTCAATCCTATCTTAAAATGTTTGTTTTGATGTCATTAAGTCGAAGTTAAAACATGATTACGATAGCGATATTGATTGATTTGATTTTTATCCTGATTGTTGAACATTTCGAATTTTTCATGAATTTCCCTGAAAGTGAGCTTTCTGATGGTTTCTTCAAATGTGATGTTTCAAATTCATTCAAGTATGTGTAAATAAAATTTTTCTATTAACATTTTATCGAAGGGCTGAAGAGAGAGATAGAACCGTAAAAAAGACAATCGGTTATACAGAAAAAAGAGATAATAATAATAATGATGGTGATAACATGGAACTAAGTTGAAAATCTGACAAAATTAGTGGAAAAGAAATCTTATTCCATTTACTAAAATGAAATAAACAATGAATTATACATGATAGAAGGAAATTATGTGCAAAATAACCATTCGGAGGTATATTTCTAATTTATTAGTAAAAATAACTATGTTATATGCAATACAAGAGCAATTTCCCACTTGTTTTCCATGATTTTCATGAAATAATGGAACTGAAATTTACAGTCTCCATTGATCTTTCATCAAATTGTGAACTCTCAATGGCGAAATTTCCTGAAAATTCAACAAATTTCCAATAATTGTACCAGAAATGTCAGCCGAAAAATCCCACCAATGAAATTATTCTTACGAATTAAAAACCTGTACTTCATTTTCAACAATTATTAATTGTTGCTCTTCAGGATGTGGCGAGCGCTGTGGATGCTTCTAGCCCTGGGCATTGTCATCGCCTCGGGAGAGACAACCGGCGACGCCGAAGACGCCAGTGTTGAGGTGGATCCTAGCGAGAATATCGATGTTAACATTCCTGGATTGGATAAAAAAATACCGTCCCCTGCGGAATTACTGAAGATGCTGGACTCGATGGACTTGTCTGACGAGGAGAAGGAAAACATACGCGAGAGTATTATGAGGAATCCTGAGGGTCTGAATAATGCCGTCGGGGGTTCCGGGGGATTCCTCTATCAGGCACTTGTGCTCTTGTCGCTGCTCAGTGTGCTGGCACTTATTTTTGGTGGGTTGATTTAATCTGGCGCATGTGGTGGGTGATTATCATTACTCGAGGGTAATTTGAGGGCTTTTTGCAGGGTTCTTCGGGTACAAACTGTACAAGAGTCTTGTCGCAAAGGAGCTCAAACGCGAGATGAAGAGGAAGCAGAAGGAGATGAAGAAGAAAAAGTGAGGGCTTTGTTCTTGTTGATTTCATTCCAGAGATATTTTTGTACCTTCATGAGGAGATAATTAATTGAGAATTGTGGAGACTGTTATTTGTACAGGGAGATTTTTGAAGAGAGCATTAAAAGATTATTTGTTATTAAGGATTATCATCGTTTTTTATTGAGCTCAATTCATTCTTTAGTTCAATTATTTGTTCGATGGTGAGTTATTGTGGGAATAATGGGGTTTGAGGAAACTGTTCAGAAGAGCTTTTGAAACTGGTTCCAAGCTTTTTTTGAATGAAACGATTTTTTTTTCGCAGAATTAATAATAAAATTTCACTCATTTTGATAATAATAAATTTTTTATTCGTTTTTCCCTGATTAAATCCCGACTAAACACTGATTAAACCTTGATTGAACCTTGATTAAACCCGGACTGAAAATGAATTCGAGTCTTGAGAGGGTTTGAATATAGAATTATTTGACAGAACGAAATAATACGCAAAATTTGGATGACATTTCAATTGATGATAGTACTATGACATGAAAAAATAGAAGAAGAGAATAGTGAAAGAAGAATTTTCAAAGAACCCTTCAATTATCCTACAATTATTATGAATTGTTTATGTATTCCTTGAAATCATCATAATAATTAATCCCATAATTATCATCATCCCATCCTTTCCCCTCTATATCTCCGCCCAATTTTTTTTTGCTGAAAATATTCCAACGAATAATTCAATTACTGATTGTGGGTTATTGTAACCCACATCTTCTCATCTCGTCCACCCGAAATTAATAATAAAGTAGCAGTGTATTCTTCACCAGTAACGATAACTAATTTCCTCTTTTTAATTTTTTCCCTAAACTCTCTGGGCAGTCTCACGTATCGATACAGAGGGGGCTAAAACTTTTTAATGAAAATTGTTGAACCGGATATTAAAATCCCCACCCCTTGTTCTGGAATATCGACGAAGACTGCTGTCTCCATTTATTATTTTCATAACGAAGAAAGGGTGTACACTGATTACATAATCGAAGGAATTTCCCAGGTCCGTTCACAATTAACTGTCAAAGCAAGATTTTCCAGGGGTATTAATTAATTCAGAAGTTAGTGATGCAGTCCGAATAGTTTGGAGAGGATATATCGAGTTTCGAGATGTGTAGAGATGGGATTATAATTAACGTTATGTCAGTGGACTCTGTCAGGCTGCGATCCAACTTGCTAGAGGATGTTATTTCGGGTATTAAGCGTTATCTATTTCGTTACAGAAATATCTCCTGTGATCCGAGGGCACTCTTATCAGGGATATTCACTTGAATAAGAGAAATTTATTGAGAATTAATTCACAGGGACGTGAGAATTTTCAACGTCGAGACTTCAAATTGGAATTCAAATCAATTCAAATCAATTTTTCCATTCGTTGTAACAATATTTTTGTTGAAAATGAATTATTATTTCAATGGAAATGTTTCAATTACATAAAATTAATCGTTCACTTCTGAGCAAATGAATCCTCCGTTAAAATAAAAAATGAAGGATTATTACAGATTAATACAATTGTTCTCTTCATCAACTGAACAATCATTTTATTTCCAGCAAATCAAGTCTTCATTTGGGTGAAGGAAACATTAATTTATGGTTAAAAAATTACTCATTTGATATAAATAAAAACGCAAATGAAAATCAAGTTTTAGTTTGATTCATTTGATTGAACATAAACGAAAAAATGGAAGAATAAATAAATAAAAATGACGAAAATATGAAGGAACATTCCTCTGTCACAACTTCAATTTCGACATTCATCAAGAAAATGAAAAATCGCAATCGCAAGCAGTTTCTCCCGAAGTCAAATTATAATATAAATTCTTTACCGTTGAATAATGCAAAAAAAAAATTTTATTCGCTCTGAATACGTTTTATCAATACAGATCATCACAAAAAATAGCTGTAATGATGTAAAACCGGAGAATAATGTAACAAATTTCAAGAATTAAAAACGACACCCAACTTATTCCATAGTTAATCGATATCCCAAACTCTCTTAGAACAATTGCACCTCCATCGATGGCTGTTCAAAGTTTAATTGTACCCTTATCCGATGGTTATAATTGCCAGCAAACTTCTACTTGTCCTATCCCACTCACCCCTCCCAAACCACAATCACTTCTGCGGAACACATTAGTTGCCTACGTGTTGGATTTGGTAGTTAGTTGCTACCAATTTGCATTCAACAATTCAAACGATTGAGAATCCAGAGGTATGAACAGCTCCATACGTTTCTCCAAAGTCTTTTGAATCAATTAATCGAGGGTATGGAATTTAACGGATATTACAAGCTCATTGAAAAATTCTAGGGATGTATACAACATTATTTTGGACGTTATGATGAATAATCAATCATTTTTATGGCAAATTATAGCGGGATGAAGTGTCAAGGAATGTTTTTTATCTTGACATCGAAAAAATCGTCATTTTTTTATTGAATCAAGATCCATGTTTTCTTCCGAATGGAAGCATTGCAATCGTTCAAATTTAAGTTTTGGATTTTTTGTGTTATATTGATCCATTATGATCCTAAAATTCTGAAAATGCAATTTTTAGACCTCGTCTAAAAATAATTGAATATTTTTCTTTCAAATGTTGGTATTGTTGAGCCCTATCGATCGCCATTAATTAAAATTTAATTCATTTTCATTCTGTTTTTTCAATTTCGAATTTTTTCGAAAATCAGTTGTCCCACGATAACTAAAAAAAATGTTCTGAAGTGATTGAATGATGGCTTAAAAAAATTGTTTGGATGTCCTTTTCATCGAGTTCGAAGATGAAGGCGATAATCGTTATTTTGATTTATTTGAAAATTTGCAAAAATTTTGTATTTTTTGAAAATCAGAATTCCGGGGATATTTTTGAATATCATGCTTCAGATGAATTCAATCATAGCTTAAAATGTTTATTAAGTCGAAGTTAAAAGATGATTACGATAGCTATATTGGTTGATTTAATTTTTATGATTGTTGAAAGTTTCGAATTTTTCATAAATTTCCCTGAAAGTGAGCTTTCTGATGGTTTCTTCAAATGTGATGTTTCAAATTCAGTCAAGTATGTGTAAATAAAATTCTTCTATTAACATTTTATCGAAGCGCTGAGGGGAGAGACAATCGTAAAGAAGACAATCGGTTGTATTGAAGAAAGGGATAATAAGAATAATGATGATGACAATATTCAAATAAGTTGAAAATCTGAAAAAATTAGTAAAAAAGAAATCTTATTCAATGTAATAAAATGAAATAAACAGTGAATTAGACATGATAGAAGGAAATGATGTGTAGAATAACCATTTGGAAGCATATTGCTAATTTATTAGCAAAAATAACTATTTTATATGCAACAAAAGAGCAATTTTCCACTCGTAATCCTATTTTTTCTGTTCAAAAAAACTATGTAAATTGTAGTTATGTTCAGTAAATGCTGTGAGCGCACAACACTCAGTCGTCAGTATCATTACCACATAAATTTGTGGAAATTATTCCATTCAGGTACTCAACAGTTCAAACGAAAGGGAATCCAGGTAAAATAACAGATAACGATACATTCCTGCAAAGTCTTTTTATTCAATTAAACGGGAGTATGGAATTCAATGGATAGTACAAGCTTATTGAAAAACTCTAGGAATATATACAACAGAATTGGTCTGATGATTTCGGGAGTAGAAATATTTACATTGAATTTATGATAAGTTCATGAAGAAATTAGAATAATTCATTACTTCCACGAGGTCTAGGGGTTTACATTCATTAAGGAAGTGGTCAGAGCGAATTTCAGACGTTACGATGAATAACATCTAATAATCAATAATATAACGTCTAATAATCAATAATTTTAATGACAAATTATAGCTCGATGAAGTGTCAAGGAATGTTTTTCACCTTGACACTTTTCCACTTTTAATTCTACTCTTTCAGTTAAAAAAATTATTTAAATTGTAGTTATACTCGGTAAATGCTTTGAGTGCATAGTACTCAGTCATCAGTGTAATTAACATACACTTCTGGGGAATGACTCCCTCCAGATATCAAACTTCTGCACCGACGTGTGATCATTTTCCTCAAATGTGAGACTTTGAAATTGTCTTCATTGTCTCTTCATTATCGACATTCTTCTCACTGGATGATTGCAACACATGTCAACGGCCAGATGGAATCATCGAATCAATTAGTGATGATCAAGTGGAACGAATGTCGATGGAATTATTTCACACGCTTCTGCTGCCTCTGTCTGTAGATATCGTTGACAGGTGGGGGTGGAAGATCCTCGTCCTCACTGTCCTCACCGCCGAGACGAGTTCTTCGTCGTTTCGAGCCAATCGGTGAGCCATCATTACTCTCGTCTACTATCCAGTGAACGGATTTAGCGAGATCGAAGAGCTTCGTGTCGCAGCCGTTGTCAGCAACAGGTAGAGGAGCTAAATTCATTTGAGGAGGGATAAAGATAATTGTTGATTGAATGGAAGAGTGCTATTTTAGAAAAAAATGTAATTTCATTAGATTCATTAGATTCAGGAGGGGAATAATAAAGAAATTTCCAAATTTGATTGGAAATTTAATGGAATTCCAATTTTTTTACCCCATTTTTCAACTGGAAAAGTGAATTCTTGACACCAAATTATGATGAAGTTTCGATTAATTGAGAATTTGGAAATATTCTTCTCTGAATTTTCATGATTTCAGTCAAATATCGTGAAACAATAGAACTCGAATTAACATTTTTCGAGAGGAATGTGCGAGATTGAATAAATTGGTGAATATATAAAGCGAAGAAATATTTTGCAACATGACAGAAATAAATAACGTGAACTTGAAATGAGAAATTGATAGTTTCCATTAATTTTTCCGATCAATTCTGCAATTTCAATGACGAAATCTCTCAAAATTTCAGTGAAATGACATGACTATGATTATATTAGCGTAGAAAAACCTTAATATATTCATACTATTAGTTAATCACGAAGAATGTGAGAGATATAAAATGCTGGTGAAGATATCAAAAGAGAACTGAAATTGAAACTAAAGATTATCTCCACTGATGTTTTCATTATACTGTGAATTTTTGAAATTGTGGCTTGTTAAGTATTTTCAAGAACACTCCCCAAAATTTTAAAGGAAAATTTTTAACAGAGCAACAGAATTTTCAAGTTTCTCACCATGATCTGGCAATTGTATCCTACTGAACACATCCATGAGTAAATCAACGGCAACAAAAGGTCCTCTGAAGCACCCTGGAGGTGGCAACATAGTGCACAGTTGTGCTGCAGCAGGTGGTAATGGAAACGACCCCCCTGAAAATTAAAATAATTAATTTCGCCTGCTCACCATCATTCCCTCAAGATCACCAGATAAAGCTGTCTCACCTGGCACAGGATGCTCTCCTGGCAGTGGATTGACTTTCGGCTTGAACGGTATCATCTGAGACAGATCAGGCCTTGGTAATGCTGCTATCACCTCCTCTGTGTCTTGATTACGTGGTGATACACCTGGATTGTTCCTTCCAATATTGGAAACATCGATATAACCTATCGACTTCAATTCCACTGCTGAACAGGGATACAAGTCCAGAAATTTGTATCTGTCGACTAGTTGAGCTGTCTCTTTCCCCTCGAACTCTTTAATCTATTTAAAAATTCAGAATTCTCTCAAGACATCAATAAACACAATTGAAAACTATAAAAAAATGAACAAAATTTGTTGAAATATTCTTTTTATGAAGTAAAATTCAATTCATAGGAAATAGTTGATCATTTTTGTTTTGCTTTCTATCAAAATTAAATTATTATAATTAATATCGTTTAATTACTCTCATCAAATTAATGATTTCATTGAATGAATTGGAATGATGTTTTACCTTTTCTAGAACTGCACTTCTTCGTTTTTCCACTTTTACTATACTTGCCAAATCCCCAATGTTAGATTCGAATTCCAAAAATCTATTCCAAATGTCCCTGAATAAAAAAATCAAAGTGATAATTTGATCGAGTGGGAGGTAGTGGTGAAACAGTGAGTGTGATATTCTAAAAAAAATAATTACACTGATTTCTCAGGCTCCAAACTCCCTGATGACAGAACTCGTTCAAACAACACTCTCGTGTTATTATCCTCATTCAAGTGTGACAAGTAATCAATATAACAGAGAATGTACTCGGGATTGTCGGCGAATTTCTTCAATCCCAGCTCGAAAATACGGAATGCAATGTTCTTGTCTTTGGTGCAGTAGTACTCCATCAGGGCAGCTGCTACGTACACCTGATGTCTGCAGCGAGCGTCTTCACGTGCACGTTTAAAGACTGTTCTGGCTGATTTTATTCCCTCTGCTCTTCTCGCGAATTTCATGTACTGAACGTATGCCTGTAGAGAAAAAAATCAATAGCAATTTCATTCTTCATTTTTTTGCGAAGAATTTGATGGAGAATTTGAATGTTTTCTGTAAATCGAATATGAAAACTGCATCAAAAATATTGAAAACATTTTAATTTATTTATTTATTCGTTCATTTTTTCGAAATGGTTTTATATAAGGGAACAATCAAATTCATGAATTTTTTGGCTATTCATTGATACCAATTAAGGTTCAATTTTTCATACGCACTTCAAAAAAATTGTGTTTTTCCAAAAATCGATTTTTCAACGATCACTCAAAAATTCTTATCAAAATGGAATTAGACATGGCTCAAAAAATTGATAACAATACTCTCTTGATTCTATCAGAATATGATGGGGGTCGCACCATGCGTTGTTGAGTAACAGCACATTGTTTATGCGATTTGAACGAGAAAATCGGTTTTTTATGATTACTGAAAGAATTATCAATAATAGCAATTAAATCAGGGCTTGAAGAGTATATTTCAATGCCTTCTTAATCAAGTTGAAAAATGATGAGAACAGCATCTGGGTTTGATTAAACCCGGACTGAAAACCAATTCGGGTCTTGAGAGGGTCTGTCTGAATGTAGAATTATTTGACAGAACGAAATTTCAATTGATGATAGTACTATGACAAAAAAAATAGAAGGAGAAAATTTTTTTATTTTATAAAAATCAAAATCGATTTCTGGTGATGAAAATTTGGTTCTCAAAACTGATTCTCCAAAATTAAGGGTCATAATAAGGATCATGGACCCTAGTACTGAAATAAGAATTAAAAAAAGAGAATTCGGAAGCAAATTGTATATCTGTATACACTAAAACAAAATATTCATGCAAAACCCCAATTGAATGAACGTTTTACCAATGTGGGATCAATGTCCGTTATGTCAAGGAACTTCTGATAGATCTGATGGACTTTCTCGTACTTCACTCGTCCCTCCTCGAAGTCTGCGTGTGCAAAATAGAGAAGCATATTCTTCGCTAATAAAGTGCTCGTAGCACGTTCGAACATAGTCGCCGCCTCGTCACTCAAATTTTTCGCTGCATTCACGTCCCCCTTCTCGGTGAGAATTTTCGAGGAGAGCTCGAGGAAGTGGGCTGCCTGGTGCCAAACAGCCGGGTGATGGCCGAGGCACAGAAGACACTGTTCTATCGCGAACATGACTCTTTTTGCAACTAGGGACGTGTCTTCGGTGCGAAGGGGATTGCTGCGCTCCCAGGCGATATATTTTTTCCAGAGTTCCACCTAGAAAATTTAATTCCCACCTCAACATTCCGCTCACAATTTTTGCGGGAACTCCAATATTTACATAGGAAAATGAAGATTCGATCAGTAAAAACGAGAAGAGCATGAAAGTCGAAGTAAGTTTTGGACGAGAATATTGGCAAATGCAATCATGCATGGAAAAATTCAATTGAAAAAATTAGTAGATTTTTATCTTTTTATACAACGTATTCCAGTACAATATTTTCCAAATTTTTTAAACTTCTATTTAACCTTTTCTTAAACTTTTATTTCCTTCTGCTGCTGAGAAATCTCTGTAGAATCAATGTCAACAGAATGAATTCTATTAATTTGCTTTCTATACAATAACGTCTATTCAGTATTTGAAGAAAAAAAATTATTAAAAGAAAAACAGATGGAAAAGCGTTGAAAGTAGTCAATAGAATCAACAACAAAAATGAATATTTTCTAGTGAATGTTTTTCGATGAAATTTTCCATTCAATTATTTAATTAAATATTGATTTAGAAGCCCACAAAATCGTAATGAGTATTTATCCTCGTTGAAGATACAAAATTTTCCATAAAACTCCATTCAAAACATTCACAAACATCGTGACTAATTAGATGAAATGAATAATAAAAGACGCTGCAATGGAAATACTAGTTCTAATCAATTAAAATGAGCAGAAAAATCTGAATGGAATTGGAAATTCCCAAAAATTAAAAAAAAAAGTAATAATTGACTAACCAAATTGTTCACTTGAGCCAAAAATATCTTCTCTTCATTAAATATCGAATCAACTATTCATGAAATAGTATGGAAAATAGTAAAAAAGATTACGCTTCACCTTCCCTGAAACCTTTCTTACAAAATTTCAATTCAACATTTTGCAGATGATGTAAATCAAAATGAAAAATCTAGAAAACAACATTAAACAATCAAATAATTATCCAAATCTTAGAATATCTCATAGAAATAATTCGAAACACATACAAGAATATGGACGACGACTATTTTCCCCCACCTAACAAAAAATTCACCAAACAACTCCCCAAAGATAATGAAAAATGGTATAAAAATATTTCTCATTCTTTTATTAACTTCAATATAAGAATCTCTCATCGTTTCAATTACTTGTTTAACTTCTTCAGGATGACCAGTGGGCGGAACACTGGGTGCACTTCTGTTCAGGCCTCTTGTAACTGCCTCCAACTCTTTAGCAACACGTCTAGCATTCATGTAGTCGCGAGACCTCTCGATTGCCATTTTCTCAGCGATTATGGGATTGATATTTTGCTCGAATGCCATGTAGTCCTTCCACAGTTGCTCCATGTTTATCATTGGGTTGATAACACCACGTTGATATACCTGAGAGAATAAAAATGTTTAATCTCGTATTTACTTGAATGATTTAATTAAATGCTGGATTTGAAACGCAGAGAAACAGCTATATAATATTAAATAAAAGCAGGGATCTGCATCAATCGCTATTTTTGTAGTGTTATGACAAGCTTACGATAATTAATGTTTACTTATCTTTATTGAAATTCGAGAAATAATAAAATAATTGATAATATAAATTAAGTAATTGACAATATGGAATTGTCAATTGACTATCGAGTAAATAATTCGGAATTTCAATATTTAACTGATTATTATTTTACTAATTTAAACATTATTAGATAATATCAACCAATTAACTAAGCAAGATTACGCATAATTTGATAAACTCACAATTCCCCTGAATTTTAATTGAACTTTGAAGTACTTTCTCATACTTCTGAATTACTAGTCAACTCTATGAACTTTCCATTTGTTGTTTAACAGTATAACCACTCGTGTCCTTGATAATTACCCATTGGAGCTACTTTACCTTTCGTACAGCACTAATTTTCTGATTCTCCGCATAAGACCCAACAGCCTCCACACTCTTCAAAAAAGACACATAATCATTCCAAATACTGTACGAATGAATATCCATTCCAATTTTGTCGAGTGCAAAATCATACGCCTGTGCCATTTTCTCCCTAAAACCACAGATATTTACATTCTCGTATGCAATAGGAATAAATAAACAGTCTCATAATTTTTACATTCACCTCTACATCATCCAGAGTACTTACTTGTACGTCGCCAAGCTGGATTTAGTTTCTTTAACGTACGACAGATACAATTTCCACAATTCAATATTCAAGATTTTCATGAGGCACCTTTGGAAAAGCTGTTGCAACAAAAAATAACATGGTACAACATAATTGTCATCATCAATTATAAGTTAATATACATCTTTCGTACTCGATGTTAACGAAATAATTCTCGCAATGGGTCTCATCCCCATAATTACATTGATAATCCCTTACTTACCAGAGGCAAGTGCAAGATTACTAAACCATCATAATCACAGAATAGATCAAAAGAAGAAAGCAGAAATTTATCAATGATTTATTGTTCATAATTATTCGCATACAGTTGTATCTGAGACATCTAATCAATACGTGAGGTAAATGCAGGTTAAATAATAATGCCACAAGAAGCATTGGTAAATAATTTATTGAGAACACATAATTTATGATTGAAGGAAATTATATAATAGTCGAGCTGTTGGTAGAAGCCCGAAATGGAAACCCCCACAGAAATAAAAAAATTGCTCTTTATTTGTGAATGTGGGGGTGGGAGGGAGTTGAGACCTAATTGGGGATCAGAGATCCCTACTGCAGTGTTTAATTAAAAAAATTGACAACCACACGAGGCAGCATAAAGTGAGCCCTTAGATGGTCACAATATACTACCTCTGAATTTGAGACCATTGTGATAATTCGGTTGTTGTGGATTCCGACATTCTCCATGGAAAAAAATCCAACTGAAAAATTCAATTCCAATTCCAAACAATTGGAAATGTTCAATTCTAATTTCAAAATTTTTTTCATTTGAAAGATCATTAATGATGTCCACATAACCAGTCTATTTTGTAGGAAGGAATATAAGGCAGATGCATTCAGAAAGTCCTCTTCCACAAAAGATTAATCAACCATAATGACAGTTATATTTTAATTGAATAGTTTTGGTTGGTTGAAGATAATTGCAGACGCTGAAATCTTCCGGGGAAAAGAACCTCCCAAATGTTTTGAGAAAACAGTAATTAATTAATGAAATAAGTGGTTCCTTGATGAAGTCAAATTGTTTTTATTCACCTTACATAAGACTGTAAAGTGGTCAAAAAAAAATATTCATCACATAGTTATGGATGCACCATATTTTATGTTAGTAATCTTTGGAATTACTCCATTTTGTGGAATTTATCACTAATTTGGGACTATCCTACACTTGAATATTTCATTGTACTTCTTTGTCCAATAAAAGTTTGACGATTTCCTGATTTTCTCATGCACCATTTCATCGTTATCAATGGATGATTGAAACTTTTATTGAACAAAGAATTATTCATATACGCAACACCAATTGCATTGGCAATTAGAATATCATATTTAACATACCTTCTCCACTTTTTCAAAGTTGCGCATTTTCATCTGGAATGATCAGAGGAATTATGTAGTTCTCAATTATTATTCTATTTTTTAATAATCTGTTTTTTTCTGGGGTGAAAATTACCTCTTGCTCAATGTAAATCTTCCAATATCTCCCGGCTGATGGAAAAACCGTGACGAGTTTCTCGAATACTGGCCTCACTTCTGGAATTGGTCTGTTCTGGGCTTCTCTGATGAGAATGCTCCATGCTTCCAAGTCGTAGGGCGACTCGTCCACGGTCTTCTGGGCCCTTTGAAGTTTCTCATTGCCCCAATCCTGTTATAGACCCCAAGCAATTGAACTCGTTTCATTTATTTTATCGTTTATTCAATTTTTTATTCAATTGAAACTTTCACAGCATTTAATTTCATTCGATTTTTTTATTCAATTCAGTTCTACTCAAGATTTTAGGAGGACATGTGGCAAAATGGATCTTCTTAAATCATCAATATTCTCTGAAAAATTGATCTGATTTTAAAGCTTGCAAAAATATCTTCAAAATAAAAAAAATATGTTGAAGTTCATTTTACGGACATTGAGTTATTGATGACTTAAAATGGTTTATTTCGGTCATTTCTTCGCTACTCTTGAATCAAAATTTAAAAGAATATAATTCGATAAAAAAATCAATTCAAACTACAAATTCTAGTTAAATTATTCAATAAAAATGAAGGAAATGCAGGTGATTTTTTTTTTTTATTCTGGAATTTAGAAAAATTAAAATTTCATAACTTGAAAAAATATAACTTGATAAAAAAAAATCAATTATTCCGCAAATTCCAGTTAAATTATTCATTAAAAATGAGGTAAAAGCAGGTGATATCGTTAAATAGAAGAAAATAACTAAAAATTCACGTAGATTGCAAAATTTTTGTCTTATTTCGCCTTCAAACCATTTGAATTCATTTGAATTCTCAAGTATAGGGGAGGTTGGTGTAAAACGGACACTTTTGACTTCTTTAAAAATGTTAATGAGGGGTTGAAATGTTGATAAAATTTGACAATTTTTTTAAAATACAAAGTACAATTATTTCCCTTTGTGACGAGCCTAAACTGAGCTCAATTGATAAATTTGTTTCTGAGTTATGAATAATTTTAAAAAAGTCTAAAGTGTCCATTTTACCCCACTCTTCCCTACTGCATCGTTGGGTATAAAAAATTGTATCTTAAATGAAGTCCCCCAAAAATCCTCATTCAAAACCCCTTATTTCCATGCAATCTCCCAACTTCTTCAAACTCCAAAATAACAGATGGAACTGCCCCCTCCAAGTCCACAAAACGCCTCTCTTGGAGGTTAAGTCACCAAATGCCTCAATAATCCAAAAAATCCCGCACACCTATCCCAAAACAATTGAAAAACCCTGTTAAAAACAACGAATCCACGTTAATAAAACCAAAAATGAACTTACGAATTGTATTTTATCATCAGCCATATCTCCCCTCAATAAACCAACACCTGAAAATACGTATCTGCAATCACACCTAACTTATATAATGAGATAATACAGACACAGAAAAAAGGATAGATCCTCTCAAACTATTAACATAACCCAAACAATAATTATTCAACCACCGAGAGCTAAACTTATCAGAATTCGCATGTGCATTCTACGAAATTCTGGTCGACTTATTCCAAGAAAAAAAATGTCGTGGGGAGGGGGTCGTTTGTACAATCACAGATGGACACATTCCGTTTTGGACACGTTCTAGGGAAAATTGCGTCAGTAGGGGAACGTAGGGGCGACGGTGGAGCGGTTGGAACAGATGGGCACGGAAATTTGTGGTCACATTCGGGGATGTCTTCTGAGTCAAATAATTTTCTCCAAATCTTGAAACTCCTTTCCTAAATATCCCCACATCATCCCCAAACGAATAAGCATAATTAGAATGCATAATTAATTCTTATCTGCCAAGTATACGGTCGTGGAATTACAAACTGAATCGAACTACAGAAATTAACAGAAACAATTATTTATAAACAAATGATGATGGTAAATCACTTGTAATTTGTTAGCAGATGAATGTAACGCATTTTTGCAATATGAAATACAATTTTTTTTCAACATGAAAAATCCAAAAAAACCAAACCAATTCTATTGGAGCATGTTTCTAGGGACTGGTTTAATCCTTCAGAAAATTATCAACTCCCTGGGAAAAACATTTTCTTATGTTATCTCCAATACCGAGCCCTTTTTAACCACCTCATCGACCTCATCTGAATCCGCCCATCTAGGGTTCCACCGCCTTTCGTACTGTCGCCATTTTCCCTAGAACGTGTCCAGAACGGAATGTGTCCATCTGAAATTGTTCAAACGAACCCCCCCCCCCTAAATGTCGTGTGGCTAATTGTTAATGGTGACTCATCCCCTCCCCCTAAGCCCCATTAGCGAGAGAATGACATAAAGATGGCGGCAGGTGTCGTTTCCACGTCGTGAAATTACAGGATTTTCTCGTCTCAATCATTATTATCCCATGGAGAAAGGCATTTCAGCAATGTTGCGTCGAAAAAACTTGTTTAACCGAAGTTCTCCATAAAAATTTCACCCACCTGACGGATCATCTGCATAGAAAATCATATAAATCGTGTGATCACATAAATCCAGTGGCAATAATGACGACTGCATTGTATTTGGAGCATTATTTGGACAGTGAGTATATAAATTTTTTGGACGGGTTTTGGATGCGACAAATGCACGGTATTTTCTTGATACGATCAAGGCAAATAGCGCCAAAAAGAGTGGATTATTTGTTCATTTTTTTATCGAGGTCAAGAGCCTGGGATAGAATACAATAGATATTTGCTGAGTTGCCCACGTTTTCATGATTAATTAGTGATTAGTACCTCATAATTGATGTTTAGATGGTCAAATTAACGACAAGAATTTTGTGATCATATCTGGCAACATCAGTTCTGGAGCATTTGATTAGACTGTCAAAAATTTTGAATCTGTGATTTTTTTTTTTAATGTAATGTAAATTTTGCTGAAAATCAATGAAAAAACTGAGTTTAAGCTAGATTGGTAAGTAAAAATGAGAAAAATTCAAAAACTATTGAAATGCACATCACTTTTCAACTAAAACTCGAAATGTTATTAAAGTTTTCGCCTTAAATTGAATGTAATGTTATTCTTTTGGAAATTACTATTAGAATATTCATGGAATTGCAACTTAATGGGATTATTGTACCCCGTGGGACTTTAAGCTAGATTTGTCTTTAAAAATGTGAAAACTTTCAATACATTTAGCAATTTTCGTCTCATTTCAACTTGAAACTATTCAAATTCCTTCGAATGTTCAGCTAAAAGTAAATTTTGGTTATTTTTTCCGTCAAATTAAATTTTATGTCATTCTCCAGTAAATCACCAGACTGTCGATGGAATTTCAATTTAGTAAATCGAAATTCAATTAAATGCAATTAATTTCAATTAAATTTCATGTTATTCTCCGGAAAATCACCAAACTGTCGATGGAATTTCAATTTATTTTGCGTCCCATAAATCTCTCATGAAAGACTAGTGAAGATGTAAAATAGAGGAACTATTTTGTTCCATCCAAGAAATAAATAAATTGAAGCTCTCATAAATGACTAAACTGAGACGAAGTTTTTTTGGTAAAACGCTTCCATAAATTGTTGGGAAGCAATTTAAAAAACCCGCATGTCCGAAAAAAAATGCACTCGTCCTAGTTAACCAATTAACAGAATTAAATTCCCACACTCTAAAATTGAAACAATTCTATCAGGTCTTGAACACCTGCCCATTGAGCTCCAAAGAAACTTCACCCTGATGAGAGACCTGGACGCCAGAGCCCAAGGTTTGATGAAGGATATTGACAAGCTGGCCGACGATTACCTGAAAAACCTGAAGAAAGAGTCACCAGAGAAGAAGAAGGAGCAGTTGATGCACATTCAGAGTTTGTTCAACAAAGCCAAGGAGTACGGTGATGACAAGGTGCAACTGGCCATTCAAACGTACGAACTTGTTGACAAGCACATCAGGAGATTGGACTCTGACCTGGCGAGATTCGAGGCGGAGATTCAGGACAAGGCCCTGAGCAGCAATCGAGTGCAGGAGGAGGGTGGAGCGAGCAAGAAGGGCAGGAAGAAACAGAAGGAGAAGGAGAAGAGGAAGAAGGGAACGGCTGGAGCGAGCAGTGAGGACGAGTCCAAAACTGCCAGGAAGAAGCAGAAGAAGGGAGGGTCTATGGTGACCTCAGCTGCCATTGGGGCTGTTGGCAGTGGAGCACAGACCGATAACACGTCACTTGGGCATCCTGCTGATGTCCTCGACATGCCTGTCGATCCTAATGAGCCCACTTACTGTCTGTGCCATCAGGTGTCCTATGGCGAGATGATCGGGTGTGATAATCCAGACGTAAGTGTTCAAAAATATCATTGTGAGGTACTTATTACTGGGGGTTTACAAATGAAGCTAATTAAATTGTAATTGATTTTTTGATGTTTGAAGTTACTGATTACCTTGGGAATTTTATCCCTCGGTGAGTCACAAAAAAGATGGAAAATTCGAAGGACTTTCTTGATTTGTCTAAGTAATGTAAAAGAATTCTCAATGAAAATTTTCATAATATTTTCTTTCTCTAATTTTTTTCTGTTAGTTTCACTTTAGAAAAACAGGTGAACCAAAATAAATTCATGTCTCAGTTATTTCTATTCTTTATTAAGAATTTGAAACACTAATTATGATTATAATTCCATTTTATACGTATAAAAGGCCTTAAATGTTCTCAAAATCATTTAAAACTTTAACTATTTCCAGTGTTCCATTGAGTGGTTTCACTTTTCCTCCCTGGATCTGACTATTTGATTTTAGATATCCACATAAAACTAATTCAATTATCTTTAATTTTTTTCTCCATTTGACTAATAAGAAATTATTTTATGAAATTAATTATTTTGATTCGTTTAAACAATTCAAAAGATGTCTCAGTGAAAATTTTAATTACATTTTCCTTCTCCATTTTTCTTCTGTCAATTTCACTTAAAACAAAATAATTGAACTAAATCAGTTCATCTCTCACTTATTTCCATTCTTTATCAACAATTTCAAAGCCCTAATTATGATTATAATTCCATATTTATCATCTTTAACTATTTCCAGTGTCCAATCGAGTGGTTCCACTTTTCCTGCGTGGGTCTGACAACGAAGCCCAAGGGTAAATGGTACTGTCCCAAATGTACGCAGGATCGAAAGAAGAAATGAATCTCCACCGGAAAGCAGAGCAGAACAAGAAGAAAATCCCTCAAAAGTCAAAAAATTGCTCAGCAATCGGCAGGAGGCAATCGCGGTGATCTTTCAGCCCGATGAATCGAGATTAATTCAGACAATGTTTCATTGTCCAAAATGAAACATGGATTAAACTCAACTTAGGAAATTAAAGACAACTGCGTTTGCATTGCATCTGAAATGAAACTCGTGTGCAATTCAGTGTGATAAAAGCATAATACACATTACTGTAGATGTAGAGACCTATTTATTCTAAACACAATGTTCATTCCTGATGTAATGCAAGAACAGTTTTTATCGGTTTATCACAGAACTAGGAGAATTTGAGAACTGGCCGAACGTTTTTTTTTTATTTTATTCACCATTTTTCGTTAACTCTTGCACATAAGTATTTATTCATCCTTCACACTAACGTCTGAATTACGTTATTTTTTATACAATCACTGGCCAGCTCTTGATAATCTGTGATTCACCTTAATTAGTTTATAAAATTAATTATAAATACAATCAGGCAAGTATTAATTAAACTGTACTCGAAATCATGAGGATAAATATAGATTCAGATCTATATATTAGTTAATATACTAGTTAATTACTGTTTTTTTATATTTTATGAATGTGAATTGTTAGATCAGCAATGATTTCCAATAATCTGAGCCAAAAATTGTATGGTAAGTGAACAATTCATGATGAACAAACAACCATTGTTTTAATTCCAAGGTGATTAATTCATCATTTATTCGTTGTAAAGTAATTATTGATGAATAAACTTCCAGTACTTTACCTATTCGTTAACGACTTATTTTATTTTATTTGATGAATGACAAGTGTATGTGGAATTTCGTGACAGGACTAGATCAACTCTGGAGAGTAAAAAATGCTAGGGAAAGTCAGATGACTCCGACCTGACGATTGCAACATTGGCTGGGGGGGACTGTCCAGTTGTAGTGATAACTCATTCGACTTCTTATTTCCTTGGAGCACAGGCTACCGGTGGATGTGTAGAAATCGTGGAGGGACTTCATGTTTTCGGGGGTTTGTTTGTGAGTCACGATGTATTGATTGGAACAGCCTCTTGAGATGTACTCGGTGTCGAAGCGAACGTCGTGCTTTCTTTCGATATTGGCGACGGGGGAGAGCCAGAGGCCCACTGATACATCCTCGGAATTGAATAATCTGGATAATAGAGTGGAAAATTGATGATAAAACAATAATTAGATTATTTTTGTGAGTTCATGAGGGGTTGAAGGGGGAAATTTCCGGAGATATTTGTTGCTGGACATTTAATTGGATATAGTAATGTTTTCGAGACATTCCTGTATATCCAGAGAAATATTTTATGGGAATTAAATAAACTTTAGTCTAATCGGATAAATGAGTTTATTCAAATAGCTTGAACTAAAGCGTTTGTTCAACTGTAAATTCGCTTTCTATTTGCGTTTTTGTTCAAGTCAAATGAGTTATTCATTCCATATAATTAAAACATTTCTATGGGAATCAATAAATGGAATGAATAAAAAAAAATTTCAAATGAAAAGTTTTATTCAATTTAACTCGGTTATTCCTCTGGGTATAGATATTGAGATTTTTGATCATCAAATTCGTCAAGTCAATTACGTGAAATAATGTTCAAACAATTCATGAAATATCACTCGCCTTCAGAACTTTATCTTGCACAAATTACTTGTTTTGGCATTCTCTCCTTACAAACAAATCATCGACATTGTTCAAAAATTTTCATTGACATAAAATATCTCGCTGAATTGTCAATCCTATCAAATGAATTTTTATAAAACCTTTATTTTATTGCAGTTTCAATGGGATAATTAAATAGGAATGCATTTTTATCAATCAAAAGGCATTTATACACACGAAAAAATGTTATCAAAAACCTGGCTCTTTCTTCAAGAAATTCTATTGAAGATATGCGAATTTCCAAGTTTTTCCCTTGTATTTTTATTTCTTTTTCATAATTAAAACAAAACAAAACTAGAAAATTTCTGCCCAAGAATTCTCAAAGAAAAAATCCCTCCAAAATGTTTCATATAGAAAAATGAATATCTACCAATTTTTTTTTAAAGAAAATGTCTAGATAAAATGCAGAGAGAATTGCATAATTTTTAACAGAATTCACACAAAAACAAATAGAATTTTTCAACAGAATTCCAAATGAATAATTAATTATTAATAGATATATTGATCATTAATAATAATGAAGAATTATTAATATATAACATAAGATTAATTAATTGATAATTAATTTAACTTAATAATTGAAAAACCAAGCGAAACTTCAATATCTTCTACCCAAAAACCAATCAAAAGCCCCAGACAAATCTCAATCTAATCAACTCCATAATTACCTCAGCACATCAGCATTCTCGGCGATGAACTTGACGAGATTATACGACAGAACATACCCCCCACCGACAGCATAAGGAAGGTAATAATCACAGAGATTCCACCCGATCTCTTTCCAGGGTCCGGTCTTCTTGACACTGGCCCTGCCATTGAAGAAGCCCCAGTACAGCTCCTTCCTCGTCCCCTTCGCCTCCCAGACGTCGAGATCCGTCAGCATCCTGTGCAGCAGGACAAAGCTGTCGCCATCACTCTTGAGCAAATAATCGAACTCGAACTCCTGGTGAACCCACTGCATCGACTGCAGGACCTTCTTCGTGAGAGTTCCATACGAGTCCTGCAATTTTGGCAGCAGCAGAAGATCGTGGAACTTGTCCTGTTCAGATTGCAGAGTCTCTCGTTGCTCTGGCTGAATGTCCAGGGTTCCTATCGCGAACAGGTGCCTCGTGTTCTCAGTCTCCTCTGACAGCCACGTCTTCCTCATGGCGTCTCTCACTTTCATCCCGTCTGGGCTCGTCAGGATCACGACCACCAGGCGATACTTTGGCTTGTCGACGCGAGGCTCTCGAGACCTCCTGCAGTCCTTCGTCAGCAGGAAGTAGAGGACTGTCAAGAAGACGAACGTCAACATTAAGGTCGCCACGTTGACCCTGATGTTGAGCCTCTTGGACATCACTCTTGATGAATTGAACAACATTATACGGTTCTTTCATTCATCTTGGGGGATTGACATGTTGTTATTCCTTGCTGGCTGTATCCCTTCGGGGGATTCTTCGGATGTGCTGGTGGGATGCATGTCTTTTTAACTAGACATTGACTGGACAAGTAAAACTCCAATAAACACTCCACGAACAAATTATTTTTAGAAAATCTGTCCCGAAATTTTGAATAGTCTTTTCAACTAGGCGACTAACGAATGATATTCTTAGAAAATTTATCACGAATTTTTTGAAACGCCAACGATCAAACGAAATATCCGTGTTTTTTAAAATTCGTAATTTTCATTGATATATCTATTACATTATTAATTGGAGCAATTACATTATCTAATTATTAAGGAGAGGAGGAGGCCTACGTAGATGTAAAACAAGGAACACGTTTTTAATACAAAGAGATGGATAAATACAAAATAATAAAAAAATATTAATTGGAGCAGTAATTGTTGTTTTTTTGTTCTGCATTATTGACTGAATTGTGTGTCTTAACATTAACCGAAACAGTAAAAGAATTGAGTTGATTAAATTTAAAAAATCGAATTAAATTATTAATATTGAATTACAAGGGAAAATTGTTGACATTAAATTGTTATTAAATTATTCATTTTTTAGAATTGTTAATTGAGTAAAAAATCGTCTAGACGAGACGAAAAAATAATGTTATCCTTTGTTATTGAAATGCAAGAAGAAAAAAATAATAATGAAAATGAGGAAAATCTCGGTTAATTATTACGAATCTAGTCACGCAAATAAAATTAGTTGATACATTGTTAAAAATTTTGGTCTGAATTCAAGATTCACTGAATTTCAGAAAATCTTGACACTGAAAAATCAAATATTCCATTGATTTTCTATTCAAATGATCTGAGAATCAATAAAATACTTAATTTCTCATTTAAATTATCCTGTGAAAATTCATAAAAATCAGGACAATTCAGGGAAAAATTGAAAATTCATGTTCCACTGAGTTTCCAGTTGTGGAATTTCCATCTCACTCCCACTGAAGACTCACGAATTTCCGTGAATTCTACATAAAACTTGAAATTTCATAACCATTGTTTCCCTAAATTCGATTCAATGTCACTCTGTCAGATTCACTGTAATATCTTCCACAAAATTGCAAAAAATTTCTAACTGTATGTCGTACTTGAAATATTGTCTAGTTGAAAAGATGTACCACAGTTTTGTTATCGAATGACTTCTCTCCTTCCTCGATTTTTAACTGCACTGACAAATTGTTTTCTCTTGTTGTCAAAGAACAGAATGGACACATGTGCATGCCTCATCCATTCGTCAGCTGTTTCCCACCTGCGTTGGAGTGTCATCTGCAAGGGTGAGGGTTTCCACCGGTCGAGCACTGCCCCTGCATCGCCTGAGGGTCGGCTAGAGTCCTCTCGTCGATAAAAAAGAAATTTCATTTCCACATCAGATGCGCAGAACGAAAAAATGGAAAAATGTCATCAGTATCATTTCTCATTGAGACCCATGCTCCACGATTGTCTAGCTGTGTTCAGCTGACACTCAACAGTCTCAACAACTTCCAACTTCTGGAGCAGGAGTTTCCCCGAGGGGTTGTGCGAGACAATCGTAAATTATTGTTATTTACCTCTCATCAATGGAAAATTGAAAAAGAAATGGCTTTGGCTGTGCGCACTATCGCATTAATCCCACAAATTGGATATTGAAAGTCCTTTTATTTCCAATGCGGAGAAGATTTATTGACCTGAAGAACGACGTTCGTCGATTGCCATGTCAGAGAGCAGCGATTCTGAGGAGTTCTTCGATGCTGAGGATGACAGCTTTCACAGGAGCACCAGGTAATCAACATCTTTCGGTTTATTATTGTCGTATTTGTGGGAATGAGACAGTGATGTAATGACAGTTGTTGGGGGATGTGGTCACCTGTAATTTATGACGATGACTTCAGTCATGAAATCAGGTGCCCTGAAAGGTTCTTCTTAAATCCTAAATATCTTCTGAATGAACGATGCAATTTGGATGGGTCTGTTGTCATTTTAAAGCCGGAAAAAATACCCTGAAAAAGAAAAAAAAATGTTTGATTTCACTCTGCGGATGTCGAGTTATTGATAAATGAATACCGATTATTCTACCATTTTTGTTGATAAGGAGTTAATGTTATTCTAGAGGAGTTGATGAAAATTTTGCGTTTTAGTAGCTAAAATCCTTCTGTTCATTATTGTCAGTATCGTATGGTTAAAACTGCGATGTAATGACAGGTGTTAGGGGATGTGATCACCTGTAATTTATGACGATGACATCAGTCATGAAATCCCCCTATATTGGTGCTCTGAAAGGTTCTTCTTAAATCGTAAATATCTTCTGAATAAACGATGCAATTTGAATGAGTCTGTTGTTATTTTAAAGCATAAAAAAATAGATTGAAAATGAAAAAAACATTGTTCGATTTCACTCTGCGGATGTGGAGCTATTGATCAATGAATACTGTTCATTTTACCTTTCTTGTTGAGGAGTTGATGAAAATATTGGTTTTCAGACGGGGGAAAGTGAAAGAATCACCTGCATTGGAAGCACAGGGAGAGGCACCTCCGACTCCTATCACTCCATCCAATGATACGGTGTTCGTTAAACCTGCGGATCCCAAGCCACTGGTGGAAACCCAGAATCATGTCAACGTTAATTCCACAACGGGGGTGAGTCGAGGGTTCAATCACTTCTGTATTTTTATGAAGTTTTCAACTGAAATATTGAATTTCTTCAATATTCTGGGTCTATTGCATTTTCTAACTCGAATATTGCTCAAATTTCCTGAAATGACAGTTAGTAAAATTGAAGGAACATTTTTAACAGATTTTTCTCTTCATATGAAAAATGTCAAAATCTTTGATTTGTCAAATCTCGAAATTCGCGCAATTTTGTGAGAGTGATTCCCTGTTCATCCTGGGAAATTGATCTTGTATTGCATATAGTATAGTTATTTTTGCTAATAAATTAGCAATATGCTTCCGAATGGTTGTTTTGCGCATCATTTCCTTCTATCATGTATAATTCATTGTTTATTTCATTCTATTAAATTGAATAAGATTTCTTCTCAACTAATTTTGTCAGATTTTCAACTTAGTTGAATGTTATCATCATCATTATTCTTATTATCCCTTTCTTCTATACAACTGATTGTCTTATTTACTGTTCTATCTCTCCCCTCAGCACTTCGATAAAATGTTAATAGAAAAATTTTATTTACACATACTTGAATGAATTTGAAACATCACATTTGAAGAAACCATCAGAAAGCTCACTTTCAGGGAAATTCATGAAAAATTCGAAATTTTCAACAATCATCATATAAATCAAATCAACCAATATAGCTATCGTAATCATCTTTTAACTTCGACTTAATGACATTAAAATAAACATTTTAAGCTATGATTGAAATCATTTGAAGCATGATATTCAAAGATATCCCCGGAATTCTGATTTTCAAAAAATACAAAATTTTTGCAAATTTTAAAATAAATCAAAATAACGATTATGGCTATCACCTTCATCTTCAATCTCGGTCAAAAGGACATCCAAACAAAATTTTTAAGCCATCATTCAATCAATTCAGAGCTTTTTTTAAATTATCGTGGGACAACCCATTTTCGAAGAAATTCGAAAATTAAAAAACTAATCGATGAATTAAATTTTAATTAATGGCGATTGATGGGGCTTAACAATACCTACATTTGAAAAAAAAAGATTCAATTCCATTCATTCATTGGCGAAGAACTAAAGACATACATTGTTACATACGTCTAAAAATTGGATTTTCGAACATTTGGATCGTACTGGTTCGACATAACACAAAAAATCCAAAACTTAAACTTGAACAATTACAAAGCTTCCATTCGGAAGCAAAAACCCAATATAACATAACCGAAGTGTCACCAGGATGCGGAGGACAAGCCCACGGGACTGGAGAAGATCGTCAGCCGTCGAAAATTCCGCGAGTTGCGCCAACGAATGGAAACGGAGGATGACGACATCCCCATAAACAATTCACCCCCGGACAGTCAAACATCGTCAATCGAGGGTGTCTACCCGACACCATCGAAAACCTCCCACCCCTTCAGGATAATCGAGCACGACACCCTCAGCTTGCAAAGTATGACGTCACTTGGTAGAGTTGGAAGAATCTTAGGAGGTGGTTCTGATGCTGCATCTAGTGTTGTACCCTGTGGTGTTCCAGTTTCGATGTCAAGAGAAGCACAGATGGCATCGCTGGCCAATGCCCACTCCAAAGACGATGATTCAGCATCAGGAAAGATCTCCCAGTCGTCGAGTGTACTCACCCTGTCCGGAGATCTCGTCCAGGAGGGGTCAATCAATGGCAGATCAGAGTACTCAAAGTGCGATCCTAAAGTTGTTCTGCAGGAGCCCGATGTCATAGCTAGCACAAAGAATAATGGAAAGAGTATTGACACTCAGGAGGTGATACCTGTTGCACCACCGAGAAGAAAAAAAAAGTCGAAACCACAAACACCAACGGATCTGGCTGTACGTACAATTTTATTTCTTTTTTATTTATGCAAATGGAAATTAATTATTTTAATTTTAACTTATTGTCTTTATTTGGACCGAGAAAATACTTATTCATATTTTTGAAAATTATTTATTTGATGTGAATGCGAAAATAAATAAAAATCGAGTTTGAGTTTGTCTAAAAGCTTCATCTTAAGCTATTGAAATAAATTGATTTCTTTGATTCTAATGAAGTTCCAACCCGAGAAATGGTGCATTTGAATCAAATAACAAACTTTATTTGAAGTTTTTTTACTCAGTTTCAAGAATATTTTGTTGGAAATTGATAAACTCAGATTTTTTTTTCAAAGATGATGTTCTAATCATGTATGTTCATAAATAACATGTTAATTGATTCATTCCCTCAGACATCTAAACAATGATTTGATTGCAGCCAATAAAGTCTCTATTTGTTTAAATAAAAACACGAGTAAAAATCGAGTTCAATTTTAAATAAACCCATTAATTCCATTCAAATAACGTTTATTTAATTAATTTAATTCCAATACACTATTTCTATGGGTGCATCTATGTGTCTTGTAAAAGAGATGATGTAATAGAATTGGAGTTTAATCCATTCAAATGGATGTTGCTAATTCATTAGCAACAGAATTATGGTCAGTTATTACAAAGAATGCAATTATCCAATCGTTTCAGCCTACCTCTGCAGAGGGATCGATGCCGGCCTCGTCACTACCAAGTCCAGCAAGTACAATTGAATCGATAACACGTGAATTTGAACATTCATTGGATATAAGATCGGCTACTAAAGGGCAATACGTCGTCAAGCCACAGGCAAGTTTCACCACAAGTAATTACGTTCTTTACTTCAAGGACGAAAAAATTCCAGTTCATTGTGACACGATATCACCCTCCAAAGGATTTTTAATGACACACCGACATGACCGGGTCAGTGTCAATTCTTTCCACAATGCCTGTTTAAATTGTCAGTTTATTATCGTTGATTATCAGTTGGAAATTATTTTTTCATGCACGAAAGAATTTCACAGAAAAATCCATTAATTCTATTGGATTTTTATTAAACTTTCTGTAAGTTTTCGATAAGTTGCCGATTCTATTGAAAAATTCTGTAGAAATTCCTCGGTCCAAATAATTGCCAGTTTTTTTGTTCGATTTTTAAAAATGAAAAAGTGGAAAAAACAACTCAATGGAAAAAAATTATGTCGAGGAATTCCTATAGAAAATATCTCAATAGAAGACGTTGTATAGAAAAATAAAATTCTACTCATTTGTTCAATAAAATAGTCTTCATTGGACATTTTCTATTCAAGACATGCGCAACTAATTGCAGAATTCTTTAATAGAATAGCACAAAAATTAATTGAATTTTCAATAGAAGCTCAATAGAAATTTATTGATTTTTATTGAATTTTCAATTAGTTTTCGGTCGATTCTGTTGAAAAATTCCACAGCTTATCTGCGCGTTATTTTTCAATAGTGTTCAATGGAGAATATTTTATAGAGAAAATCGCTAGAATTCGATTTTTCTATTCAACTTATTCTATTGAATTTTTTTTCTATAGAAATTCCTCGACTCAAATTTTCCAAATTTTCTTATTTGATTTTTTTTTAATGAAAAGAGAAGAAAAAAAAGAGTGGAAAAAACTGATGTCGAACAATTCCTATAGAAAACGTCTCCAATAGCAAAAATTGTATAGAAAAATGAAATTCTGCTGATTTTTTCAGTAAAATAGTCTTTATTGGACATTTTTTATTTAAAAAACATGCAGTAAAGCTATGGAATTCTTCTTTTCCATAAAATCGGCCAAAAACCAATAGAATTTTCAATAGAAGGTCAATAGAAATCCAATAGAATTCCATGTCGAATTCGCTGGATTTTCTGTGAAATAATATCGTGCGTATGTTCTTGATTATCGATTTTTGTTTTTTTAGCAGTCGTATGTAGGTTTATTATTAGCTTCAGTAGACATTTGAGAATATGTGCCAGTAGAATATTTTTCGAGCTCTGAATATTCCTGAGAAATTCACTGAACTTTACTTAGATGATTTTTTTTTGTTGGAGTTGAAACTGGATTTTATTATTTATTATATCAATTAAATGCTTAGAATTCAGTTGTAATTTTCTGTTACTTATTATCATTTCTTTCAATGGGATGAAGGATGAGGATAAATCAAAAGCAGAAGGCCCTTCATCAGTGGAACTCGATAGACTGGAAAAAATCAAGGCAGAGTTGCTGAGTTTACGGTCGAGCGATAAATCAAATAGCCCTATTGGATCGATATCGAGTAATAGCATTGGTCGATATTCTCTTGGGCAGAGGTTTCCCGGTATCAGTCCTCATAACTCAAGGGAGAGACGCAAGTCCGCTGGGGATCAGGATATGGTTAAACAGCTCAATATGTTTGTGAGGACTAGAACGGATTCTGGAAAACGTTTAACTGATATGGTAAGGACTGAGGGTCACTCAATTTTTTTTTAAGATTATTTTTTATATTATATAAAAAATTATTAAATATATGATATATTCTTGTATCATATTATTATTTCTTCATATTAGGGGAGGGTGGGGCAAAATGAAACTGCCGAAAAACGATTATTTGACACAATTCAAGCAAAAAAAATTTTGTTTATCAACCTTTTTTTATTATTCGTAGTACTGTTGAAAATAATGATTTTTTATTCGTCTTATAATTCAATTGATTAGATTAGGCCGATTACACTTTTTTTCATTCGAGTGATATTCAGTATCACATTTTCCTTTCCCCCCCTCCATTTTCCATTCTACAGAATGGAAAATTATTATTCTAATCAGTACTTCCAATAATTAAAAAAAATAATTGAAAAATAGTTGATGAAAAAAAAATGTGTTTGCTTGAATTGTGTCAAACAGTCGTATTTTCGACTGTTTCATTGCGCCTCATGTTTCATTTTGCACCGCTCTTTCATTTTGTCCCACTCGCCCCTATCTTCTATGATTTTTTAAAAATGATTGTAAAATGTTCAAAAAAAAGCTCTGACTGGGAAAAACCGGAAAAAAATAGTCAATGTACTTGGGTATCCTCATGTTAAAATTCATGCAAAAAATTATCAACAATGAACCATTTTCTTGGCTTTTGACTTCATTTTTTCTCGTTAAACTCAAAGACTCAACTAGCGTTTACCCCCACTGCCTTCAAAAAACAAAAAACTAATCTATTTCATTATTATCACTCCCCAGGAAATTCTGGAGCAAGTAACAGTATTGAATCTGGATACGGGTGAGCGAGTGCCATTGAGTATAGCCGAAGATAAGCTCCCCCAGTGTATGAACCCTCTCTCCCTCCACATAATGCGTCTCACCTCCGAGTATGTGAGCAACTCTAGTCTGGAAAAGGAGAAAGAGAGTGACGAGGAGAGTGTCGACAGTAAAATGTCATCGATTCCCCCCGACGAGGACGTCTCAGTGGGTCGTGTCCGCAAGAAGACCCAAAAGTTCAAGAGATTCCTGGGCTCCACAGTGAAAAAAACCATGGACAAGGCGAAATCAATAGCCCAGGAGGTGTCCCACGCCCGTCACAAGGAAGACGTGATGGACATCGTGGACGACGTGTACCCAGGGGAGCCCCAGGTGATAAAACTGAAAGCCTCAAACTCCCACAAAGGCCCCTACGAATTTTCGTGCCTGCAGCACGTCCAGGACTTGAGTGGTGAGCACGTGGGTCCAGTCTGGTGCATGAAATTCTCAGCCTGTGGTAGACTCCTGGCAACAGCTGGTCAGGATCGTGTCCTGAGGATTTGGGTCCTGCGTGATGCATTCACATACTTCCAGGACATGAGAACGAAGTACAATGCTGAAAAAGTGAGTCCAACCCCTTCACAGGAGTCCCTGGTCTCCCAGCAGTCGATGGAGGATCCAAATGTGGCAGCAAGTGCTCTCAGTGAGATCGAGGGAACCAAGAGCCCCTTCATGCCGAAGCCCTTCTGCACGTACTTGGGGCACACATCAGACCTGTTGGACGTCTCCTGGTCGAAGAACTACTTCATCCTGTCGTCGTCGATGGACAAAACAGTCAGACTCTGGCACATCTCCAGAAAAGAGTGCTTGTGCTGCTTTCAGCACATAGACTTCGTAACTGCCATTGTCTTCCACCCCAAGGACGATCGTTACTTCTTGTCTGGCTCGCTGGATGGCAAGCTCAGGCTGTGGAATATTCCCGACAAGAAGGTCGCTGTCTGGAATGAAGTCGATGGCCAGACGAAGCTCATTACAGCTGCCAATTTCTGTCAGAATGGCAAATTCGCTGTTGTGGGGTCCTACGATGGTAGATGCATATTTTATAATACTGATCAGCTGAAGTATCACACCCAGATTGACGTCAGATCCACCAGGGGAAAGAACTCACGTGGGAGGAAGATCAGTGGCATTGAGCCTATGCCTGGGGAGGACAAGATTTTGGTCACTTCTAATGACAGCAGAATACGACTCTATGACCTGAGGGACCTCAATTTATCGTGTAAATATAAGGGGTATGAGAATGTCAGCAGTCAGATTAAGGCCAGTTTCAGCCCTGATGGGCAGTATATCGTCGCTGGCTCTGAGAATCAGTGTATTTATATTTGGAAGACTCATCATGATTATTCGAAGTTCTCCAGTGTCAGGAGGGATCGTAATGACTTCTGGGAAGGGATTAAGGCTCATAATGCTGTTGTCACTTGCGCTGTTTTTGCACCCAATCCTGATTCTATCATCAGGCAGATTGAGGCTAGGGAGCAGTGGGAGGGGAGGGAGGATCCGAAGAATGGTGCTGCCACTGGGGCGATTGCCAATCCAGTTGATCCTGTTGTTGAGCAGAGAACCAAGGGCTGTGGCGGGCATGTCTTAGTCAGCGCGGATTTCAATGGGTGCATCAAAGTATTTTTGAATAAAACTAAACCAAAACACAGTTCACTACCTGCTTCGGCACTTGCCTAATTGGGGGTTTCTTGGGGTTTTGGGGAAGTTGTGGGGAGATGAATAAATTTAGGGAAAATTCTAGGGGGTTCCGTTGAAAATTATGTTGGATTTCTCGGGAACTTCTATTGAAAATTCTAATCATTTTTTATTTTTAACGAAATTTATTGCAAGAAAAATACTCAAAAAAATAATTTTCTTATAATAGGCCATCGCCCGAGGGCCATGATAATTCAGCCCATGAAAATTCAGCCAATTGAAAATTCTATTTGTTTCGTTTCTTATAGAAAATGTCCGATAGATTATTGAAAAAATCTGTAGAATTTCGTGTTTCTATACAGTTTTTTTTATTGAGATGTTCTCTACAAGAATTTTCTAAAAAATTTTCCTCTATTTTTCTTTTTCTTTTCATAGAAAAAAATTGAACAAAAAAAATTAGAAAATTTGGCCGAGGAATTTTGGTGGAAAATTTTTTGATAGAATCAGTTGTATGGAAAAATCGATTTCTATTTACTTTTTGCATGACATATTTTTCATTGAATATTTCTGTTGAAAAAAGCGTAGATAAGCTGCGGAATTTTTCAATAGAATCAGAGAATAATTAATAGAAAGTTCAATAGAAATCCAATAGAATTTTGTACAGAATTCGCTAGGTTTTTTTAGGAAAATTTTTCGTGCATGAGGAGTTTGGCTTGAGATCATCGAGTATGGTCACTTTTATTTTTTTATTTTATATTTAATTATGTGGAATATTTGTTCCCGAGAGGAGGTTTTTTCGTCCTAAGTGGTTTATATGGGTGGAATGTGTTCAGTAAAAAATTGGGGAGCTTTCGGTGATGAATTCCATTCGATAATTCTGTCGATTTTTTAACGATTTTCGGTGGAAATTTAATTATTTTGATTTTGATTTCTCTTGATAATTATGTATTAATGTGATTCATGTTAAATTCAAATACAGTGCAAAAAACTGGAAAAATTTATGCAAAAGAATTTCTATAACAAAATTTCGTACAGAAGAATCGAAATCTATCGACTGCTTAAATTTTTCATCGAAGTTCAATAGAATTCCTCCGAAAACGCACTAGGATTTTTTATTGATGGGTTTTATACGTGACGAATACTATTTATGAAATAAACTCTAATTTTTTAAAACTGATTGCGAATTTCTCGCGGAAAAAATGACTTGAAAGTTCAACCCGGTAGATATTCCCTCTGATTTCTATCTGATGACTGAATTTATCAAATAAAAATTCCCACATCTCCGCAAAAAATCAATAAAATGTCAAAGACAGCCCAAGAATTTTCTACTGAATTGTTGATACGTGCATTAAAAAATTGGAAGTTTCCTGAAAATAATTGTTTATTACTTTCCTTCTTACGTTATATTGACCCAAAGCAGTACTTTAGCATCACAATAATATTGCAGGCAAATATTTGTAGAACGTTTGCTGAGGAATTCTTTTGAATAATTCTTTTCATTTCTTATCGATTTTTTTAAATTGACAAAAAACCAATAAAATCTCGAAGAAAGTGCAAGAATTCTCGATTGAATTATTCATTCGTGCATTCAATGATTGAAATATCTTCCTGAAAACACTTGTTTACCATCTATACCTGAAATTATGAATACCCTATCCTCTACCCAAGTATAATACCAGATGATAATTTCAAATCCTCGTTACGTTACATTGATCCAAAGCAGTGCTTTCGCATCAAATTGTATTGCGAGCTTCTATTTGCAGAGCTTTCGCTGAACAATTATATTCAATGATTCTATTGATTTTCTATCGATTTTTATCTGTATTTTCTGTTTGATGCCAATAAAATAATGATCGACAGAATGAGAAAAACCTTCAGATGTCAGGATGATTTTTTCTCCGTTTTTTTTTTCTATCAAATAAAAAATGCAACATCTCCAAACGAAATTGATAAAAAAAACTATAAAATCTCGAAAAAAATTGAAGAATTCTCTATTGAATTGTTCATTCGTGCATTCAATAATTGCAACATCTTCCCGCAAACAAGTATTTACAAACTACCTTTACCTGAAATTATAGATCAGCGCCCCATCCTCTACCCAACTATAACACCATCTGATGAATTAAAATCCTTGTTACGTTAAATTGATTCAAAGCAGTGCTTTCGCATCAAATCTTGCAATCTTCTATCCCTCTTAGTGGATAAAGCTACCCAGCACACGGCTAATCCAACCAGGATTACCAAAGAAAGTTGTTCAAGTGCAAAAAGACCCTTGGTTTAAAAATGTCCACGAATGTAAACAAATGTTGTGTAATATATAAGTAAAAATGGTGGTTTGATAATTGACAATAAGGATCTCTCATCAATCGGAAAATATACGTATGTTCTTTCTTTTGTAATATGCCATATCGGAAGTCATTCGAGTGCCTATTATTTTCCAGTCACACGCGAGGGATTCCCACTCCCGCGGACAATTCAACTCCTGCTGAAAAATACTGAAACGTGATTCAATCGATCATGGAGAGATGAATTTTAAATGAATTGTGTATATTGTTACACGTGCTATATTGTCAATTAAATTAATTGCATTGGATAACTATCCGTTTGCATATTGAAATTATGTATCAATAAAGTATATACATGACTAGGGGTGAAAATTGGAGCATGGGAGTGACGAAAACCGAAGTAGTTTCGCGAAATGAAAGAATATGGTTCTTCAGAATCATGTTTTTTGAAAAAAAAATGAATGAACAGAGGGAAAAATTGTCATAATATCGCAAAACTAATTTCTTGAATGACTTGAACATGAACTTGAACGAATGAATGCAGAATTCATGGAGAGCAATATTCTCTAGAAATTTCTGGAAAGGAATAATCTCATTTCAGGGAGAAATATTAATTTTTCATGTAGTCTCGGCTGAAGAAATTATTTTTGCGATATCGTTTTCTCTGTCGGTGTAGAGAAACCCAGCGCAATCGTTAGAAAATTGTATTGGAATTCTATTGAAAAATTCTGCAGATTTCCTGCGGATTTTTTTGTAACAGAAATGTTTCATAGAAAATATTTAAGAGAGAGAATTGATAGATTTTGGTCATTCTTACTGTGAAAATTCTTACTGGGAAAAAGAAGTAGTGGAAAAAATATGGAAAATTCGTGGCGATAAATCTTACTCTATATCATTTGAGATATCCGATTCTCCGGAAATTCATGGAAGGTTCTGGAAAGTTCGCGAATCGTATGGAAAATTCTACAATTTTCCACTGCAGAATGCTCCGAAGACTGGAATATTCTAGAAATCTTCAGGAATTTCGCGATTAATTCACAAGCTAACTCTTCGGAAAATCATGAAAAGGTCGAGAAAATTTTTAAAAGCACCAGACCGATACAGCAGTTGTGCGAGGGAATTTTTACACTAATTTTGCGTGATTTTGTCGTAAAATTACCGTAAAAATTTATAAAAACTTCTCGATTGATTTGAGTGTTTACTTACGAGACCCTTTCATCATCGATGCACTCTAGATGCTCCGAGAATATTCCAGAATATTCTAGACTAAATGTCGATTTCAACATGAAAAAAAAAATTGAATTCAATTGATTTCCAATTTTCAAAAGAATGCGCTAGGTTTTTCTATTAATTTTATTTCGTAAGAGTTATGGCAATGAGCGCCAGTGTAAATAGAAAAAGAACACAGTGTGCAGGAAATGATATTGAGAAGGTCAACCTAGTTATACAAAAACTTGCAAAATGAAAGAACAAAGCAAACAAAAAAACGAATAAATTATTGATATAAAATTGTGTAAATGAATACTGTAAATATATTTTCAATGGCATTAGTGAGATACGCTTAGCTATTGTTAAAGACTATACTATTCACCATTCCGCAAGCGGGAATGCACAAATTGTTTTTGATCATCAAGAATCTGACTGTAGAGAATTCAAATTTCATGTGCTCAGTGAACTTACCATGGATGGACCTGTACAATTTAAGGATTGTAATAATGTCTGCATCAATATGTTGAATTAACATGAGTTTTTGTTTTGTATAGGCTAAAATATATTGACCAATAAAAAGGGAATTTGTCTTTTCATTTACGATCCTGAAATGTGAGAGGAGTTGTCAATAACTTTCATGAAGTTTAATTAAGAGAGTTTGGGAGTAAAAACAATTTGAAACCCACTGAAGTGTTGGGAAAACTTTGCGCCTCGAATTTTCAGCCAAATGGGGATGAAAAAAACTGACGGATAGCTTAAAAAAATTGTTCCTTCTCTAGGAACTGGATGAAACGAGGTGAAGATGATCTGAAGAAGACAAATAATTTTCAGAAATGGGCAAAAATACGAGGCGATCAACAGGTGGAGGCGTTGCCATCTTGATAGGGTATCCCCTCCTGCCTCAAGGGGCTTTTTAACAGATGGCGGTGCCATCCACCTCGTATTATTAAACATTTATTAAAATTATTTATCTTCTTCAGATCGCCCTCAACTCGTTTCATCCGGTTTCAATAATAAGAACAATTTTTTTAAGCCGTATTTCAGACTTTTCCATTTCTTTTTGGCGGAGCATTCATGGCGCAAAGTTTTCCCCCCATTTCAGTAGTTTTTCCAACTTCAGAGACCTCTTAAAAAAATAAAAAAATTTCAATCATTACAAAGTTTTTAGTTCGTTAATTAAATTACTTCGGAAAAATCTAATGAAATTTCATTTTTTTCCAATAGAGAAGTTCACTTTCAGGAAGGAGAGGACATCTAAATAATTGATTTGCACCGCTGTTCAACTACTTTTTTTCCGCGGTAATCAAGGACTTCGTGCATCCCCAATACAATGACCTTTCATGCAGATATTACGGAAAATATTCTTAAAATCCATCTCGACGACCTCGACTCTTTCATGTCACTCAAATGCGTTCACTTGACATGGTTACTCTTACACTCGACATCCGTGACTTAGCGTCCCAACGCCTTTTAACTGGCTGTAGGTCATTTGCTCGTGTGGCCTACGAATGTGTATAATGATATACGACTCGCGACTGTTGACGGTAGGTCGGTCGGTCAGTCGGCCGTCAGTACTCGCTTCTCCGTGTGCTGTAGCTACGGAATTCCCCCTACGTTTTTCGAATTTTTTCCGGTTTTTTCTCACCGAATTTTTGAGGAGGACACGTACTTCAGGTGAAAATTTCGAAATAACGTATCTCAAGTGTTTGAGTACAG